GGGACACTTGTTAAAAATGCAGATTCCTGGGGCGCCTGGGTGGCTCAGTCGTTAAACGTCTGCCTTCGGCTCAGGTCATGACCCCAGCGTCCTGGGATCGAGCCCCGCATTGGGCTCCCTGCTCAGTGGGGAGCCTGCTTCTCCCTCTCGCACTCCCCATGCCTGTGTTCCCTCTCTCGCTGTCTCTCTGTCAAATAAATAAATAAAATCTTAAAAAAAAAAATAAAAATGCAGATTCCTGAGCTTACAGCAAACCTACTGAATCAGAACTTTTACAAGAAGGGCTTGGAATCTGTACTTATAACAAGCTCCCTGAGTTATTCTGATGCACAAGGAAGTTTCTGATCCACTGTCTTTAACATCTGGTCAATTTATTTATTTTTTTAAAGATTTTATTTATTTATTTGAGAGAGAGAATGAGAGAGAGAGCACATGAGAGGGGGGAGGGTCAGAGGGAGAAGCAGACTCCCTGCTGAGCAGGGAGCCCAATGTGGGACTCGATCCTGGGACTCCAGGATCATGACCTGAGCCGAAGGCAGTCGCTTAACCAACTGAGCCACCCAGGCACCCAACATCTAGTCAATTTAAACCAACAACTTGCTATCAACCTCCTATGTCCAGCCCAGTGCTGAGAGCTAGTGGTGCCTGAGACGGCCCTGGCCCTGCCCTCCTGGGAGACAGACCCATCCCTAGAGAGTGGCAGAGATGGGCTAGAAAAACTGAGGGAGCTGTGAGAGGCCAGAGGGGGCACTTGATGTAGCCTGGAGGGTCAGGGAGGGCTTCCTGGGGGAGGCGACATCTGAGCTGGGGATTGGAGACATAGTAGACACTCATCATGATGTATACAGGATGCTCTGGTCTGTGGGTATGTATAACAAGGGAATTTTAACAGAGTTTGAAGGCCAGGAAAGCCTTTCATTTATTCATCCTTTTTTTTTTTTTTTACAAAGATTTATTTATTTATTTGAGAGAGAGAGAGAGTGCATAAGCAAGAGGGGCAGAGGGAGAGGGAGAATCCCAAGCAGACTCCACACTAAGCACAGACCCCCACACAGGGCTTGATCCCATGACCCCGAGATCACGACTCGAGCCGAAACCAAGAGTCGGATGCTTAACCAACTGCACCACCCAAGCACCCCTTGTTCATTTTTTAAACAAATACTTGTTGACTTCCTCGTAGTGAGTTCTGAGAACACTGCTGAGGACACAGATCTCATTTTTCCCCTCACATTGCTCACAGTGGGATAGTTATTGAATGATATCAGAAATAATGTTTCAAATACAAACTCAGTAAGTGCCCCAAAAAGGAAGAACAGCTAGATATAACCATATATCAGGAGCCCCTAATCCTCCTGGAGAATCAGGGAGGCTTCCTGGAAGAAGAGAAATTCATGGGATGAATAGGAGTTAGCTGGGCAAGGGGGCCTGGGGGGCGGGGAGGGCACGGCACAGCAGAAAGGGAGATCGGGCAGAGGGAAGAGCATCTGGATAGGAGAGCTTCTTGGGTCTGAGACTCCACTTGACCTACCTCCTACCCAACAGTCTGGAGGGGCCTCCCTCATACAAGCCACCAACCCCCAAGGCGAAGCTGAAGGAGCCTGAGATGGTAAGCACTCACCCCGGAGCCCAGACTGCCCCCACCTCCACACCTACCTTTCCCCACTGAGGCCGGGGCTAGGAGGGGGGACTCGTGGGGAGAGGCCAGCTGTGAGAGGGTCCTGACCTGCCCCTCTTCCTTCCCTTCAGCCCTCCCAGCTCTTCACTCTTGGAGCCTCAGAGCACAGCCCACTCAAGACCCCCTACTTTGATGCTGGCGTCTCATGTGCTGAGCAGGTGGGAACTCGGGGGAGGGCAAGGGTGGGTTTAGGGTTTGGGTTTAAGGGCCAAAGATCCGCTCCTGACATAAAAGGTCAAACACTAAAGGTCACAACTCAAGGCCAGCGCTGTATCTCTAGTCCGAGCTCAGAGCACCGAGATGTGTTTAGGATTCAGTGGGGGAGATCATGGTTGAAAAAGTCCAAAAGGACATGAGGTTAAAGCCACTTAGTGAAGATTGGTTGAACATCTACATTTGCCAGATACCGTGCCCAGAGATGAGATAAAACTGAATGTTATTCCCCTCCGTGATCTACTGTCAGGGGTCAGATATTAAAGTTGAGACAAATCAAGGTTCAAGGAGCTCTTTAGGGCTTAGGGCTTAAGGTTAAGTAGTTGAGGTCAAGATTGAAGTCAAAGGTTCATGGAGAAAGGCTTGTGGTCAGGGATCAAAAGACAGAGGAGAGACGCAGGACTGACAGGCTCTGGGCTTTGAGCTAGAGACAAGCCATACCGTTGCTCTAGTGCAGTTTCCACCCAGGCCAACAAGGGATGAGGTCGGGTCTGGTTTGGCATAAGGAGATGGTCAGGATTTGGGGCTGAAGGGGCAGATCGGGATTCTGTGTAATGCACAGGAGATGACCTTGGGCTCTTTTTCCCTCCCTGCCCCCAGGATATGCCTCGATATCATGAGCTGCCTACCTTGGAAGAGCGCTCGGGGCCCCTGCTCCTGGGGGCCACGGGTCTGGGGTCCCCCATCCTGGTGCCTCCAGGGCCACCTGTTGTGGAGGGCGTTTCCCTGGACTTAGAGGAGGAGGAAGAGGAGGAGGAAGACTATCTAGATAAGATCAACCCCATCTATGATGCCCTGTCCTACTCCAGCCCCTCTGATTCCTACCAGAGCAAAGGCTTTGTCATGTCCCGAGCCATGTATGTGTGAGCTGCCATGGCCCTGGCCTCTCACCTCTCACTTTCTGATCCCTCCACTTTCTGCCCGGGATCTAGTGCCCCCTGACCTCTGGCCAGGCCACGGTCAGTTAACACACAAAAATGCATCTCATCTGTGACTTCTGCCTTGGTGGCTCCACTATGATCTCTAATCCATGATCTCTGACCCAGAGAAACCGGCCATGACAACAGAAACCTGGTAACCTTATCTCACATGGGGGTGGGGGAGTATGTTCCTGCACAACCTCTGACCCAAGGACTCCTAAGACTGTGACCTTAGATCATACCTCTCATGTCCCATCATCTCCGGACTCCCCCCAAATCCCAGAGAAGATCCCAGACCTCCGAGTTCTTCTCAGGCAGTAAAATCCCAATAGTTCTGCTGGGGTAGGTGTTGGGGGTACCCTGCTGCTCAGACCTGAGCCCTCCAGGCAGCAGAGCCCCACTCACCCCTCCCCACCCTGTCTGTTCCCCAAAGACAAGAGGAAAGGGATTCCCCAGCCCAAGGCTTCCCCATCTCCTCCCTCCTGCAGGCAGGAGTCTCAGGGTCCAGACCCTTCCCTGAGCCCCCACTACCCCAGTTCCTGTCTACAGGGAATTAAGCCCCAGCCCAGGACTAGATGGGGTAAGCCTCACGCGGTGTGCCTTTCCGGCCCCAGCCTTGGAAGAAGAATGTGCTGTTACTTTGAAGCTACTGAGTCCTTTTACTCCTGCCCAGTGGGATGGGACCCACACATCTCCCAGCAGGGGGTGGGGGGAGGTTGGAGGCTGGGGCTATAATACTGTTTTTGTAATACAGCATTTCCTACAAAATCTGAGTTTATACTTTGACCGGATGTCAACTTGTGTTTTCTGTGGGATGCGAAGGGGATGGGGGTGGGACATGATGGGAAACAAATAGGGCACGTAGAGCTGAAGGAAATCAGTAGGCTAGAAGTCAAGATGGGTTACAGGCAAAAAAAAAAGGGGGGGCGGGCAAAGATATAAAAAAATTAAGTGAGGGGATAATGAGCAAAAATACGTAAACAAAAAACATAATGATGGATAATGGAAGGAGAGGGGGAGGAGCCCAGCGCATGGTGGTTAATGACAAGGAACGGCAGTCTAATGGGTGACGGACGGAAATAAACGGAACAAAGATAGAAATGGCAGTAATTCAGTTTGAGGGACTCAGGTTTAAAGGAAAAATGGCAAGAATAGGCCAAAGGCAAAATTAGTAATAATGTAATAACTCAGGGCATTATGGGTAATAGAACCGAATGAATGAGCCAAAAGCAGAGGGATAATAGAGAAACAGGGCCGGCAGGCATGATGGGTAATGGACCCAAAACATGAGGGTTAATTAAAGAAGCGTTAGAAGGATGATGGAAGTGAACAGGCATTAATGGGCTAAGGGTAGTTCCGGAAATGAAGATGAAATGAATGGGGCAGAGGCATGCTGGGTAATGGGAGCGGAATGAATGGGCCAAAGATAGAAGCCGCAGTGACGCAAGTGGGGGCGGGGAACAGAAGGCATGATGGGTAACAAAAGGGGTGGGTCTACGGCAACTGTCGCGTTAGAATAGCTAAGGGGCATTGTGGGTAAGAAGAAGCCTGACAGGGTTCGCATAACCGGTTAGAATTCTCCCGAGGTACTGTGGGAAGGGCCAGCACTTCCGGTTTTCGGTCGCCGGCTCTGGACTAGGGGGCTGCCCCTCTGCCGCGGTGCCTGGTGGGACGAGAGGCCTGACCTTGCAGCCTAGCAGCCTCTGCCGCGCAACCCACCTTCACCCGTGCCCCTCGACCCTGGCACATTGGCCAATGAATGTACCAGCCAGATTACGTCACCAGGATCGGCCTCCTGTACCCGCCAGAGCCAATCAGAATGCTTCAAGGGCCAAGGCTGACCAATTACAGTGGCCATTTCGCTGCGGGGCGGAGTCGAAAGAGGGGGCGCCCTCTGGAGAGGGGCGGAGGCGACGAGTCAGTGGGCGTTTCAAAATGCGCAGCGCAGGCCAATGGCGGGCGAACAACGGAACCCGCGGTGTTGAGAGCCAATAGATGCGGTCTCCGCGGGCCAATGGGAAAGGCGGGGAGGTGTGTCTCGACCTGCCTGTGAGTGGGAACCAATAGAAAAGGACGTCCCAAAGAGGTGGGTGGGACTCCCAGCCATGACTCCAATTGCAAGGCCAGGCCTCGAAGCTAGTGGGCGGATCCCAGGGCAAGCCGAACCAATGGGCTAGGCGGGGCGAGGCGACGGTGGCGGCAGCGGCGGCAGCGGGTTCGGTTGCGCGTGGCGCACGGGGTGGGAGCGGAGCCCAGGCCGGGTGCGGGCGCTGCCGCCAGTGAGAACCGGGGCCCGGAGCTGAGCGGGGTTTGGCTGGGACTGGACCCGGAGCGCGCGGGCCCTGACCTTCGCCCTCTGACCTTTCCCCTTGCAGGCGACCATGGGGAACGTCTTGGCCGCTAGCTCGCCGCCCGCCGGGCCGCCGCCGCCTCCCGCGCCCGCCCTCGTGGGACTGCCGCCGCCTCCGCCCTCGTCTCCCGGCTTCACGCTGCCGCCGCTCGGGGGCGGTCTGGGCGCTGGGGCTGGCGCGGGTCGAGGTTCGGAACGGACCCCCGGTGCTGCGGCCGGCAGCGCCGCAGGGACCGCGGATGATGGGGCCTGCGGCTGCCTGCCCAACCCCGGCACGTTCGAGGAGTGTCACCGGAAGTGCAAGGGTGAGGGGCGACGGACCCGGCGGGCGTGTGAGGCCCCGGATCTCGGGGGAAGGGGGAGCACTCGGAGGACCTTGGCAATTGGCACGGACCCTTGGAAACATTTAACAGAGCGTTAGGAGTTGACGTTAGGATCGAATGGTGGAACGTTGGACTTGGGGCATAGAACGATGGGATCAAATGGTGGAACCTCAGGATGGAATGCCAGAGCAGTAGAGGAAAGCCTTAGGGACCTCAAGGAGCCCCGGGGATCAGCCAAGCCAGCCTTCTTATGTGATCGGGAAGGAAACTGAGGCCCAAGGTCACAGTGCAGCAAGGGTCCAGTGGGGGTGGAACCCAAGGCTTCTGGATCTTGGCTTGGAACAGTTATGATATCAAGAGTGGTGGTGACTTATTGAGCGCTGTTCTGGCAGTCACTACATGTTAATTCACTAAATCCTTGCGATGTCTCCACGTGGTGAGCTTACAGATGACATCTTACAGGTGACAAGTTTGACAAAGTTAAGACTTGCTTTGGGTCACATGGGTAGTAAGCGGTGGCACTGGGATTTGGATGCAGGCAAAGGAAGGCCCTGGTCCTGGCCCTGTGTATTAGGTTAGACTGTCCTCTTTATTGGTTGGGGTGCTTTGTGTGATGTTGTGTTTGTGGGTCCCTGGAAGAGGGAGAGCTGGGATGGTAGGGAAGGAAGGGATGAGAGTCCGCGTGTTTGCGTAGGGGGTGTGTGGAGAGTGACAGCATTTCTTTCCTTCAGAGCTATTTCCCATTCAGATGGAAGGTGTCAAGCTCACAGTCAACAAAGGGTTGAGTAACCATTTCCAGGTGAGCCTTCCTGGTGCCCTTACTCTCCAGAGGTCATCCCAACCATCTCCCTGCACCTACGCATACCACCCCTCACTCCCCCTAAAGGGCTAGGCTCCTGGGCACCTGAAAAGACTCAGAGACACAATGCCAGTCTGACTGCTCATGGGGTCCAGTGGAAGTGTTTAGGGACCCAGAACCTGGGGATGCCCCTCCACCCTTCACATCCAGGCAGGACTGAAGTACCGGGTATGTAGCCTCGTCTCCAGCTTATCTTTTCTCTGAGTGTCTAATCTAGTCAGGCTCAACCTCCCAGTCTTCACCCCCTGCCCTACCCAGAGCTGCCTGTCTTTTTCTCCACGATGGGGAAGCCAGGTTGGCGAGTACCTGCATCCCAGGCTTGTAGGGAGCTTTGCTGGGGGCAGGTTCAGCTGGGTTTATTGGGGGGTGGCCCACAGGCTCATCCCCACAGCCTTCCCTCCTCTCCCAGGTAAACCACACAGTAGCCCTCAGCACAATTGGGGAGTCCAACTACCACTTCGGGGTCACTTACGTGGGAACAAAGCAGCTGAGTCCCACAGAGGTGAGGTTCCTTTTGTCTTTTGTTCATTGTATCTTTTTTCTAGCCAATATGTAGCCAAGCACCAGGCAGAGAAGGCTCTGTTAATATTAGGAGAGCTGAGCTGCTGAGGGTGGTGGGAGGTGGGGACTGTCTCTCCAGGGTGCTTTGGAACATGGTCACTCCTTCATCCTGAAGCCCTGCTCCCTGCCCAGCCCTGTGCTGGGTCAGGGCCGGGGTCACCCAGAGAAAGCAGGGCTTTTGAATGCCAAACAGGGCATTTGGACTTTCCCTAGGGGGCAGTGAAGAGCCACAGAAAGATTTGGACGGGGAAAGACATGGTCAGATTGACACTCGAGGACCCTCCCTTGGGCTGCCATGCAGAGGCTGCGTTAAGGGAATGGAAGTGAAACTGGAGGCCTGGAAGGAGGCTGGGCAGAACACAGGTGGAGCTGAGGGACTGAATTAGGTCTCTGCTTATACTGGCTGTTGCCATTCAGGACATTCATTTATTCCACAAACCTTCATTGTACTCCATTCTGTGCCCAGCCCTGTGCTGGGCAGTGTTGGGGACAGAGCAGTGACTGAAACGGCCTTGGGGCTCATAGTCTAGTAGAGAAAGGGAACGGACCTGTCCCCAGAGAGTGACTGTCCAGGGTAGGCAGGAGTGAAATGTGGGGGGGCGAGGGGAGGAGGAGCCCAGAGGGGCACCTGACTCAGTCTAGGTGGCCAGGGAGGGCTTCCTGGAGGAGGGGACCTTAGTCCGAGGTTTTCTGATGCTGGGCTTCTCACCTAGGCTCACCACACTTGTATTTCCAAAATGCTAGACCTCTGACCTCTCTGACCTTGCTCTCTGCGCCACAGGCATTCCCCGTGCTGGTGGGTGACATGGACAACAGTGGCAGCCTCAATGCTCAGGTCATTCACCAGCTGGGCCCTGGCCTCCGGTCCAAGATGGCCATCCAGGTGAGTGGGAGCCGCGTCAGCTGCTCCCGAGCCACCCTGAGCACCCGGCTGCCCTCTACACTGTCCCTCCCCCCTACAGACCCAGCAGTCCAAGTTCGTGAACTGGCAGGTGGACGGGGAGTACCGGGGTTCTGACTTCACAGCAGCCGTCACCCTGGGGAACCCAGACGTCCTGGTGGGTTCAGGTAAGAGCCACGGGCCTGGAGGGCAGTCCAGTCTCAGTTGCAGCTTTCCCCGCAATCCATTCCCTTCTCCGGACCTCCTTTTTCACCGACTAGAAATGGTCAGGGGCAGGAGTGACTTTGGAAACACCCGCAACATAGCATGGGGTGTAGGCAAGTAGGTTCCAACCCCCGGATCTGTCCCTGGCTTCACTGCAGCTGCAGGCGAGTTCCCTCACCCCCGTGGGCCTCAGTTTCCTCGTCTGTAACATTGGGCTCCCTCACGGGGCTGTTGAAGAGGTCATTTACGTTCTTTTGTGAGAGAAACTTCAAGAGGTGTGGGGCCTGTAACAGGTCCCAGGGGGATGTGGGCTGCTTCTAGTACTTAGTGGGGCTCTGGAGTGGTTTCGGTGCAGAGATCCCAGGGTGGGTGGGTCCACGTGCAGTTCGGGCAGGTAGTCTTGAGTCTGAGGCAGAAGCTGACAAGGAAAGTTCCTGTTTGGGTTGGTGTAGACAGGGACTGCCTGACTTGTGCCTGTACGTCTAGTCTCTTCTTGGTTCCCCCTTTTTTTTTTTTTTTTTTGGTTTGTCTCTGGGTGTTTTTTTGACTTCTTTACATTCAGCGTGAGCGTTGCTTGGGCATGTACCGTGTACATTCCAAGCACCAAGGATAAGTTGTGGGCAAACAAGGAGAATTCAGTTTGTCCTCTGGGAGCTTCCATTCCAGAGGACCTGGACACAAGCACTTAAAAAAAAATGTCAGGTGACGGGGGCTGGGAAAGATTAGGTCCTTGGGAGGGGTGTGGGGTGCGGTCCTCAGAGAAAGCCTCTTTAGATAGGTAATATTTGATTAAAGATTAAGGATTTGAGGGAAGGTGCCAAGCAGATTTGTGGGGAAAGAGCTCTTCGGCTGAGGCAACAGCAAGCGCAAAGGCCCTGAGGCAGGACACTTTACTGGAACGCCAGGAGGGGAGTGGCTGTAATGGGTAGGGAAAGAGGGAGAGGGGCGCCTGGGTGGCTCAGTCGTTAAGTGTTTGCCTTCAGCTCAGGTCGTGATCTCAGGGTCCTGGGATCGAGCCCCACATCGGGCTCCCTGCTCAGCGGGAAGCCTGCTTCTCCCTCTCCCACTCCCCCTGCTTGTGTTCCCTCTCTCGCTGTGTCTCTCTCTGTCAAATGAATAAAATTAAAAAAAAAAAAAAAAAAAGAGGGAGAGTTGGAAGTCACAGGGGTAAAGGGCCCAAATCAGCTGAGGCTTTATAGGACTTCGGCCTTCAGTCTGAATGAGTCCGGGGCCTCACCGAGGGTTTTGAGCCTGAGAGGGACAGGAGCTGATTTAGCTTCTAACGGGACCCGCTGTGCTGCCCAGCAGAGAGCAGACTATGAGGAGTGAGGAGTGGTCAGGCCCGATGTACTTTGAAAATGGAGCCCATGGGGTTGGCCAGTGGATTGGGTGTGGGAGGCGAGCGGGAGGAGCAGGATGACTCTGTAGGTTTGGGCTTGAATGACCGGAAGGATGGGAGTGTGGGTTCCTGCTGCCATTTGCTCAGTCTTGGAGAGCAGGCTCTTGGGCATTGAGTGGCTCTGTGAAGGCAGGAAGCCCGAATCCCTGGGAGAGCTCTCAGTTCTGCCTGCTGGAGGCTAGGGAGCCTCCTCCTCAGAGGTATGGCCTCTGAGCTCCCCGAGGAAGAAAAGGGGCTCCCCAGGCAGGGAGGAGGGGGGCAGCTGGAACGGGTGAGGAGAGAGGGAGGGGCCTCCTAGGCGAGGCTGCACCCACGGGTCCTGCAGAGGCATGAGGAACCTCAGGAAGAAACATGTCATGTTCCCTGCAGACCCGACGTCATTGCCCCCCTCTGCTCACGTGCTTCCTGCAGTTGGGCCACATGAGCTTTTCTGAGACTTTCTGGAACTGCTGCATTCTTTCTACCCCACAACCTTTTCACGTGCTGTCCCTACTGCTTGGAGCTCTTCTCCCTGGTCTTGACGTGGCTGAACGAGTAGTTTCAGGGCACAGCTTGCCCTCACAGAAAGACCTTCCATGAGGAAAGCTGTGCGCGGTTAGCACCACATCGTGCCCGGGGCTTTGCAGTGCTTCCCCCGAGATCTCCTGCCTCCCATGCTAGGGTGGCAGCCCTTCCGGGGCAGGAACTTGCTTGTCTCACTTGCCACTGTGTGCCGAGCTCCTGGAACCGTGCCGGGAACAGAGTAGGCGCTGAGAAAACCCCGGACAAGGGAGCGAGTGGTGGTAGTGGCATGTCCCGTGTGGTGCTTCTTGCCCTTGGTCAGGCCCTAGGCGTGTGATGCGTGTCCTTTCCTTCAGCCATTCTAGGCACTGGGAATAGAGCAGTGAGGAGAATGGCTTGTTGGATTCTCTCAACAGCCCCGTGAGGTAGGTGCTACCATTATCCTCCTCTTGCCAAGACCCAGAGAGGGGAAGCGCCTCCCAAGGACGCACAGCGGGTCAGACTCCAGAATCCACGCTCTTCTCTAAGGCCCCCGGGCACGGCCTCCCGCACGCACTCGCTGGCTGCTTCTGTGCTTCCCGTGTTTCCTGGCACTGGCCTCCGGGTCCCTCTTCCCCGGTGCCCGAGGCCGCCGGGGGCACTCTTTGTCTCTTAGTTCTTTCCATTCCCTCTAATGACACTGGTAACGGCATCTGTCGCGAGGGCACAAAAACAGCATCCCCCTCTGGGTGAAGGATCCAGAGCGGGAGTCCATCTTCGGCTCCCAGTGTGGGACCAGGCACGCGGTTGGGGGTCTCTCTGTGTTGGAGCACCATGTCCTGCAGCGGGCAGGGGGTGTCCCTGGCTTTCTGGCCCGCATTTCACAGGTGAGGACAAGGAGGCCCAAGGGTGGAATTGGGCGCCCGGGCTCACACGGCCGGGAAACCGAGAAGCTGGAATGTGAATCATGGTCCAACTCGAGGGCCTGTATTCCTTCTGGGTTCCCTCCCCGTGGCCTTGGCCTCATCTCAGGAGCCTCCTGAGAACCTAGCATGTGCCCAGCCCTTGGCAGGGCAGTGCCAGGATAACAGCAGTGACTGAGACAGCCCCTTCCTCCCCTCACGGGGCTCCCAGCCCAATTGGGGGCCGGGGGCATATGATTTGATTTTATTTTTTTCTTAAATTTTATTTATTTTTTGAGAGAGAGAGAGAATTAGGGGGAGGAGCAGAGGAAGAGGGAGAAGCAGACTCCCCACTGAACAGGGAGCCTGACACGGGGCTCGATCCCAGGACCCTGAGATCATGACCGGATTCAAAATCAGGAGTTGGACACTTAACTGATTGAGCTAACCGGGTGCCACATAAGTCACGTTTCTTTTATTTATTTCTTTAAGATTTATTTACTTGAGAAACAGCACGCGCAGGGGGGAGGGGCAGAGGGAGAAGCCGACTCCCCGCTGAGCAGGGAGCCCAACGTGGGGCTCAATCCCAGGACCCTGGGATCGTGACCTGAGCCAAAGGCAGATGTATAACTGACTGAGCCACCCAGGCGCCCCGGGCCATTTGCTTTTAAACAAACAATCACACGGTGACTTCAGTACTATTGTGAAAAATCCTACTCGGGAAAAGTTCAGGTTGCTTAGTGAGAGCTTATAACTGCTGCCCCCCTCCCCCCACACACACACACCCCTCTCACCTAAAGGCGGGGAACAGCGTCTCTAAGATGGTGGTGTTCCGTCGAAGGGGGGTAGGAGGGCAGTGCTCCTAAGGCCCATGGAGCGCAGGGCGTGGAGAGCAGAAAGACGTCCTGTCTGGCTGGGTCCCAGAACTACACCCCCCTCTGGGTGCTGCCCTTACCTGAGCATCCGCCCTGGGGTGTCTGCCCTTCCTGCCCCAGCTGACTTCCCCAAGGACTCCTGGTGTGGGTCCTAGGCGAGCAGGGGAAAGGCCAGGGGGAGGCGCCTCAAACCTCCCTGCTGCCCCGTCTCCATCTCCCGCTCCCTGCCCGGCAGGTTTGGGAAGTGGCTCCGGAGGTGCGACACTGCCGGGTTGCCTGGCTCTGCCGGTTGCCCGAGGCCACCTCCCTGCTCGCAGACCTTAGTCGCTTTCTTTCCTTCTCGCGTGGTTTCAGGATCACGAGGTTCTTCCCGGCCACCCCGCATGCTGCGGAATGGCCCCCGCGTGAGAACCCACAGGGGAGCCCACGGGCCTTGGGCGAGGGGGGCCGGCTGCGGACACATGCGGCAGGGATGGCCTGGGTTCAGGAGGTAGAGGGGTGAGGACTGTGAGGAGCTGCGAGCAGGGCGGCCCCCCGGGGGAGGAGGCCCAGGGAACAGGCTTGGGGAGCGGGGAGAACGGGCCGAGCTGGGGAGACGAGGGACAGTGGAGAGCACGTGGTGACCCCAGTTCTCAGACTTCCAGTGGCCTGTCTCGGCCGACTACAGGGTAGGGGGAAGGTGAAAGCAGAGCGGGGTGACTGCCCTGGTCCCATGGTGACCATGGCTGCAGTTGGGGCGTGCTAGAGAGAAGTCGCCAAATCCAGGAAACAGGTGCGAATATGTAGTCGGCCAGGCTCAGCAGGGGAGAGGGCACACCGGGCAGGAGGGACAGGGCATGCCCAGGGAAGAGAGAGCTGCTCGTGTTCATCCTGCCTAGAGGGACACGGCTGTGTCCTGGAAGGAGGAAGGGGCTCGATTTTGAAGCTGGGGCCCGGCCATGTAGGACCCTGCAGCTGGGTCTCCTGGGCACTGGGGAGGCATGGCAAGTTCTGAGCAGGAGAACGGGGTTAGGTGTGTGCGTGAACAGGATCCCTCTGTGCTGCAGGTGAAATTGGAGAGGGTGAGGCAGGCCAGGAGGTGGGAGGGCTGTTCGGGGGTCCCCAACCCCGAGTCCCGGTGGGTGACAGAGCTGAGAGGCCAGAGGCTCTGAGCTGAGGTCCCAGTCTCTCTGTGAGCACGGACAGTTAACTCTTCCCTCAGGGGCCACGTTTCCCCCCCGCATCGAGTGAGGGGACAAGCCTGGCCCGGGGTGTGCGACTGCTGGCTGCAGGGGCCGACCCAGGTCTCCTGCTCTAGTGAAGGAGTGCCCCGTGAGGCGCACAGAAGCCCGGAGGGGTTAGGTCAGCCAGCCCCTGACCACGACACAGCACCGGAGCCGGGACCCTGAACCCTCGGCCCCCCCGGCCCCACTGGCAGCCCCCATCTGGATTGGGAGAGGCCTCTGACCCTGCACGCTCATTCCTGCTCCGGCCTGTCCATGTCCCGGCGTCCTGGCTCTCCCCAAGTCCCCCTGCTTCCCTGCCCTGCCTTCCCCTTCCCTCTGGCCTCCCCTTCCTCGCCGGCTCGTGACCTCAGCCCGACCGTGTCCTCTTAGTCTCTCCTGGGGAGTCCGCGGCCCTCTCCCCCTCCCTCTCTGATTCTCTTTCCACTTCTCCACGTAAGTGTCTTTTGTTTTCTCCTTCACCGGCACTCCCTCTGCGGCTCCGACTCTCTTCCTCCCCGGTTCTCCGGTAGATCACGCTCGTGGCGTCTACTCTCGGCTCCAAAGACAGGCATGCATGTGACAGTCCCTGGGCTCCCGCAGTCCAGCCCCGCAAGCTGACCGTCGCTTGTTAGCCACGCCCAGGGGCCTCGGGGCCAACCCCGCTGCCAAGGGGCAGGGAGAGCAAGCTGTGGGCCTCGGCTTGGCTGGTCCTAGCGGTCACTGAGGCCTGGCCACTGCGCCGCACCTCATTCGCTCCTTGAGACTTCAGGGCCGCTTCCAGAGGTAGTCCTGCTCACGGAGAAGTGACCCCAGTGGCCCGCTGGCGAGTGGTGGGGCTGGGATTTGAACCCAGGCTGTCTGGCCCCCGGAGGCGTGCTCATCAACAAGCCTCCCAGCGGCGGAAGGGTTCAGAACCCAGGCCAGAGAGGTGGAGAAGCCCAGATTCTGCCCCTGACATAATCTTGTGACTGCGGGTCAGTGAATCACTCCCTTAGCCTCCGTGGACTCCCAAGTGGTGGCGAAGGAATGGCTGCCTCATGGGGCCTGGGAGGCCTGAGGGGTGGGCCCTGAGCCTCCAGCGGGGGTGCGCCTGGAAGGCCGCCTGGAGCAGGAGGTGGGCCCGGCAGAAACTGACCGCACCAAGCCAAGGTGACCCCCCCCTCCCAATCTGGCCCACAGGAATCCTGGTGGCCCACTACCTCCAGAGCATCACGCCGTGTCTGGCCCTGGGTGGGGAGCTTGTCTACCACCGGCGGCCTGGGGAGGAAGGCACTGTCATGTCTCTAGCTGGGAAGTACACATGTGAGCCCGGGGCCTGGGGGGTAGGGTAGGGGGCGGGGTCCAGGGTCCTGGCCCCCTTGGTAACTGCGCCCCACTCCCACCGCGCTCTCTTACAGTGAACAACTGGTTGGCGACAGTAACGTTGGGCCAGGCAGGCATGCATGCCACCTACTATCACAAAGCCAGCGACCAGGTGAGCTGGGCCGGGGACCCACGGCGAAGGCAGGCTTTGCGGGCCTGGGGGGGCCAGGGTCCGGTGTGCCCGGGAGCCCGGCCTGGGAAGCTGACCCTTGCGTGTCACCCCGGTCCCTCCAGCTGCAGGTGGGCGTGGAGTTCGAGGCCAGCACGAGGATGCAGGACACCAGCGTCTCCTTCGGGTACCAGCTGGACCTGCCCAAGGCCAACCTCCTCTTCAAAGGTACAGGCCTCAGTTTCCCTGCTTGGAAACAAGTAGGCATCAGGTGACTCGGCCCTGAGTGGGTGTGTAGGCCAAAGCAGACGGTGGGGGTTGGGGGTGTGACAGACCCATCCCTAGAGAGTGAAGACCTGGAGTGGTCGGGATTGGCGGGGCGGGGGGCGGGGGGGGCGGAATTGGTGTGGCCAAGGGCTTCCAGAGGGGAGGGGTCATCAAGCAGCGGTGGGGGTGGGGGTGGGGAAGGGAGAGGACAACTAAGCCAGTTGCTCCGAGGACTGGAGAGCTTGGGGTTCGGGAAGAGGTTTCCAGGTGTGGTCAGAGGTCTAGAAGCTGGCAGTCTGGCTGGTGGCTATCTGAGGTGGCCTGGAGTGTGCACGGGGACAGGGCTGGAAGTTGGCTCGCGACACAGCTGTCTCCCTGCAGGCTCCGTGGACAGCAACTGGATCGTGGGTGCCACACTGGAGAAGAAGCTCCCGCCTTTGCCGCTGACGTTGGCCCTTGGGGCCTTCCTGAATCACCGAAAGAACAAGTTCCAGTGCGGCTTTGGCCTCACCATCGGCTGAGCCCCTCCTGGCCCCCGCCTTCCACCCTTCCTCCTGCAGATCCCCCCTCCCCCTCCCCCTGCCGCGGAGGGGAGACCTGAGCCCTCCTCCCCCTCCCTTCCCTCCCTCCTCGGGGGTCAGGGGGGCAGTGGAAAGGAGGGGACCCATCACCCTAGCAGCTGAGGGGGGGTTCTGGAACTCGGGCGCTCCGGGATTCGGAGCACGAGGGACGGTGCCCGGTGGGCCTGGAGTCCCAGGAGGGGGTCCGGAATCAAGGGCACACCAGGTTCTGAGCACCAGGGGCAGAGGCGGCCAGACAACCTCAGGGAGGTGTTGGGGTGTCCGAGTCCCCCCAGAGGGCCCTGGGCCCGGCCCTGAGGGGCAGGAAGAAGAGGAGCTTCCCCATCCCCGGTCAGTCTGCCCCCGCCCACTTGCCCACCCATCCCTCAGTATAAATCATGTTTATAAGTTATGGAAGAACCGGGACATTTTACAGAAAAAAAAAAAAACCAACAAAAAATATACGTGAACAAAAGTGAACCGGGCGGTGTCTCTTGGTCCGTGTGTCTGTCGCCCCTTTTACCCGGTGCATCCAGACGGACCTCACGGGGGCCAGCAGGGGGCGCTGCAGGGCGGAGCCGAGAAGGCCGACCTACCGCCCGGGGAGTCCGGCCTGGCCTGAGATCACACATCCTCCCTGTGACTTGTGTGACTCCTGCTGGGACATCACAGGCCCTCCCTCACCGGCAGGGCTGGGTCCTGTGGTCACACCCCAGCTTGGCCTGGCCCGGCTGGAGAGGCTACCAAAAGATTCCCCCTGCTGACTGCAGCAGCAGGGGTGATGTGTCTGTGCAAGGATTGGGGCACAAGCTGGGACTTCAGGTTCCGAAAGGGGCAGGGGACGACGTCTTAGGACTCCGTGACAGGAAGGCCAGAGGCTTCGGAAGGCTCGCAGGGATTGCAGCACCTGGAAAGACTTCAGAGTCAACTCTGCCTGAGGGGGCAAAGGGCTTCTGGACTTCTGGGCCTAAGGGGCGGGGCTGGAGTCCGACTCTGGTCTGGCTACAGACGGCTCCTTGGCTCACAGAGGTGGGGAGGAGGTCAAGGTGTGGGTTTTGCCCACCTAGGGTTCCAGTAACCTCCCAACACCCCTGACCCCTCCAGACAGGAACTGAAACCTTGTCTGGCAGGAACACACCCACCACACACACAGTTTGGGGAGGGAGGCCATTGAGCAGAGAGGACCCCTCATTACCTGGGGAAGCCACCCCACTCCTTCCTTACCGGCGCCTTCTGACGCCAAAGCCAACAGGCCTGGGCCTGGCTAGCCCTGGGGTTGCCTTCCTGGGAGGAGGCCCAGCCCTCCTTTCCCGTGTGGCCTTCCCCACCTCAGCTGAACCTGGGCTTCTCCGTGGGACAGCTGGGACTCGCGAGCCGGCTGCTGGGAGGGGGACGGTGCTCGCCGGGGCCAATCAGAGCAGGTCGTGCCAGGAACAGCTCTCGGGACTTCGTACATAACAGCAGAGCTTGCATCACTGAACGGTGGTGTAAGCGCGACCATCTTCCTGGTCTTGTGGACCAAGAAGTAAAGGTGTTCAGATAGGCTAGATCATTTGCCCAAGGTCATGGAGCTGGCAGAGCCCCGATTTAGACGCAGACCCTTTCGTTCCCGAGTCCACATTCCTAACCGGGCCGGGACTGCTTTAAGCCCTGTGAAGGCTGGGACCTACAATGTCCCTGTTAGGGAGAAGGGCCGGATCTTCATCTGCAAACGGGGAGGGGGGGCTCAGAGAGCTGCCCGCCCGTGCCCAAGGTCACAGCCAAAGAGGGAGCGAGGACTAAAACCCAGGTTTACACAGCCCGCAACCCCTCCCATCCCGTCTCTGTTTTGGCCTCCGGTGCCCTTCTCCCTAAGTCTCAGGAGTCTGCGCCCCCAGCCACCTCCCCTCAGAACCCAGGAATCCAAGCCCCCAGCCTTCTCTTTTCCTCTGACCCAGGATTCCGGGCCCCCAGTCCCCTCCCCAAACTTTATTCATTCATCCACAGGAAAAGCGAAAGGCGGGGAATGGGTGCTGGGGAGCAGCAGCAGCTCCTTGCCCTGGCGTGCCTAGCCCCCCAGAAGGGAGGAAGGGGCCTGAGTTACTGGGTAAAAATGTCACCTCCCTTTGTGGGGGCAGGGGGGGCATCACAGGGCCTCCAACCCCCACCTCCTTCCCCCTGCCTGCTGTGTGAAGGGGAAGGGGACAGCCCACCTCGTGACTGGGGGCTGGCCCAGCTCGCCGCGGCCCGGGAGGAGTGGGCGGGGCAGGGCAACATTATAATTGGACGAGTCTGGGATCCCTGAGTCCTACTCAGCCCAAGCGGAGACCGAGGAGGAGGTTCCCCAGGAGCCGGTGAGAAACAGAGTTGAGGGCACAGAAGACCCGCTCGGGGCTTCTGTGAGGGAAGGGCTGGGGCAAGGTGACTGTCACACGCCAGGGTCAGGACAGAAGCAGGAGCTGGGGATGAGAACGGAAGCCGGGGTCGGATCTAGGGGAGGAGCGGGCCGCAGGGGCATCCCGTCTTGGCTGGAAGGAAGGTGGGATGGGGGAAGCAGCTGGACCTGTCGGAGGAACCAGATGAGCCCCTATCAAGAGCCTACGAATGGTCACTGTTACTTATTGAACACCTCCTGGGTGCCCCCTCAGATCTCCATTAGTTTGGAGGCGCAGGGGTGGCGGCCAGGTCGCTAGAGCGCTCCTCTTTCGGGGAGGGCTTTTTAAATGAGAATTAAGTTAGCTAATAGGTGGAAGATGACGTTTAGATGTGAAGCTGCGGCTTAGAATGTGAAGGGAGAACGAGGAATGTGAAGTTGGAATTTATAAGCCGCAGTCGGGGCTCGCATGGAACTCGGGGCAGGGGAAGTGGAATTTGAACCCTCGAAGAGGGGGATGGAATTTGGGCGGCGGAGGCCGACCCGGTGATGGGGAGAGAGGAGGAGACAATGAAGGAGTTAGATAAACAATGGAGGCACCGCTTGGTGAAATGTTTGTGATTGGATTCGGCCGATGCAGATAATGGGGCGCGGGCAAGACTTGGAAGGCCCGGAACGGGTGGGGCGGGGCTCTGGGTGGGAGGGGTCTCCACTGGGAGCTGATTGACATTTCTCACTCAACCTGACCGATCGCAGGCTGCAAGATGAAGGTTCTGTGGGCTGCGCTGGTGGTCGCGCTCCTGGCAGGTATGTGGGCGGGGCTTGCTCAGGTTCCCTGTCCCTTCCCTTCCCGTCCTCACCTGGACCCCCGTGCCCCCCTTTCATCCCTGGGTCCCTCCTTCTGCTGGTCTGTCTCCCCCTTGAGGGGGGGCCCAGGTGTGAGGCTTCACATCCACTGGCTTTGAGCGGCTGTTTTAGTCTCTCTGGGCCTCAGTTTCCCCACCCTTAAAACGAGAGTTAGAACAGTTCCTAATGCATAGTTGTCAGGCAGGCGGACAGCACTAGATTAGTGTCCGCTGTGACTAGTTCTATTCATCACCACAGCGTGGCCCTGCATGGAGCAGACACAGACACTCAGTATGTGGCCGCCAGTGCTCTAAAGAAGCGCAGGAGCATTTACGGAGCACCTGCTGCGTACCAGGTACTGTGTGCCTGGTGGGGGTGACTGCCGTGAACTTGCTCTGTGCAGGATGCTGGGCCGATGTGGAGCCGGAGTCGCCGCTGGAGGAGAACCTGGAGCCCGAGCTGGAGCCCAAGCGGGAGCTGGAGCAGGAAGTGGAGCCCGAGGCCGGGTGGCAGGCTGGCCAGCCCTGGGAGCTGGCGCTGGCCCGCTTCTGGGATTACCTGCGCTGGGTGCAGACGCTGTCTGACCAGGTGCAGGAGGAGGTGCTCAGCAACCAGGTCGCCCAGGAACTGACGTGAGTGCCCCTGCCACTCCCCGGCGGGCAGTGCCTTCTGGACCCCCGGACCTCTGCCGGTGTCCCTGTCACCAACTCTTCGGCATCTCTGGTCATGCCTTGCTTCCTCTTGCTATGGCGAGCTCCTGGCTTGATGGACCGCTCTCCCTTTCTCCGCTCTTCCTGCCTCTGGCCGCCGCCCCTCCAGCAGGCTAGCTCAGTCCCTCGCACCCTTCCCTTTCATCTCTGCTTCTGCCCGTCCCCGTCCCCACCTTGCCCCCCACCCCCACCCCCAGGGTTTTTCGCCCCGCTTCTCTCTCCCCGCGTGCGGCGCGCGCACGCACGCTCCCGCCCTCTCTCGGCCCCCAGGACGCTGATGGAGGAGACCATGAAGGAGATCAAGGCCTACAGGGCGGAGCTGGAGGAGCAGCTGGGCCCCATGGCCTCGGAGACACAGGCCCGCGTGGCCAAGGAGCTGCAGGCGGCGCAGGCCCGGCTGCGCTCGGACATGGAGGACGTGCGCACCCGCCTGACGCTGTACCGCGGCGAGGTGCAGGCCATGCTGGGCCAGAGCACCGAGGAGGTGCGGGCGCGCTTCGCCTCGCACATGCGCAAGCTGCGCAAGCGGGTGCTGCGGGACGCCGAGGACCTACAGAAGCGCCTGGCCGTGTACCGGGCCGGGGTGCGCGAGGGCGCAGAGCGCAGCGTGAGCACCATCCGCGAGCGCCTCTGGCCGCTGCTGGAGCAGGCCCGCACGCGCCACGCCAAGGTGGACGCCCTGGCCACCCAGCCACTGCGCGAGCGCGTCAACGCCCTGGGCCAGCAGCTGCGCGGGCGGCTGGAGGAGGTGGGCAGCCGCGCCCGCAGCCACCTGGACGAGGTGCGCGAGCAGATGGAGGAGGTGCAGGCCAAGATGGAGGAGCAGGCCAACCAGATGCGCCAGCAGGCCGAGGCCTTCCAGGCCCGCCTCAAGAGCTGGTTCGAGCCCCTGGTGGAAGACATGCAGCGCCAGTGGGCCGTGCTGGTGGAGAAGGTGCAGGCGGCCGTGAGCACCAGCCCCACCACCCCGCCCGTGGAGACCAAATGAGTACTCCGCGCGCGCACGCGCGCCGCCTGGTGGGGCCCGCCCCTGCCCGTGCCCCCTGCCTCCCCACCCCCCGACCCCAGCCTCCAGGAGGCGCTGTCCCGGCCCCAACCGGCCTCCTGGAGGGCCCTAGCTTAATAAAGATTCACCAAGCTCCACAGCAGCTGCTGGGCCTCCGTGTGTGATTTCTCCCGGCTCGTGCCTCGGTTTCCCTCTCCTTCCTCACACTGGCCACACAGCTCTGTCCTGTCCCCTCTGCTTGTGCGTCTCTTTGTGTTTTCTGATCTCAGTGTTCGCTTCCTTCTGTCCCTTTCAGAGTCTCCCTTTTTGCTCTGTCTCCGCTCAGCAGTGCTCACTCTCTCTTCTCTACCCTCGCTGTCCCTTCTGGTTCTGGACCAGATCCGCCCCTGGGGTAAATCCTGTGGTCACCCCTGACTACCGGGGTCGGGGCTCGGGGGCGAGGGTGGGAAGCAGCCTCTCGGAGCCTGGGCTTGCTCGAGGGCGGGATACCTGCCCCGCGGAGTCAGGACTCCAAAGCCGCGACACCCCTGCCGTTGGGATGAAGCGCTTACTGTCGCTCTCCTGCCTTATCTGATTCTGCCGCCTGCTCTTGGCTGAGAGGCTTCAGTTTCTAGCTTCCTGTTTTCCCCCACCTCTTTTATCTCTTTCTCCTCCAGTTTCTTCCCCCACCTCCCCGGCTCCGCCGGTTTCTTGTTTCCCTTCTTGCCCCAGCTGGGTTTGTCCTCTCCACCTGTTCGGTCATCACTTGGGCCCTCTCTGCCTTTGGCGTTCCCTCTGGGTTAACAGGTGTCTTCATGGGAGCCGTGCTTCCCGGCCCCCTGCCCTCATCCTCCTTCCCTCTGTCCTCCAGCTGGGCTGCTGACCTCTTGTCTAGCCCAACAAGCCTACTGGGTGCTGGATTCTGGCTGGAGAGAAGGCAGCTGCCCTCCCCGCTCTGAGCCCTGGGGTCCACGGCTGGGAGCCAGTTGGTTGACACTCAGGAGCGGTGAGGACTGGAGCCTGGAGCTGCCCCCTGGCATTCTCTCCCACCCCCTCAGTTCTCAGAGGAGGGGAGCAGGGTTCCCAGCCCAGAGGACAGGCCAGGGCTTGAACCTGTAACTCCCAGGCCCAGCCTGCGCTCTCCCATGTGGTTCCTACGGGGCCAGCTGCCCTGAGTGCCATTGTGGAGGCAGGCGCCCCTCCCCACCCCCAGATGACTCACCACAGTCTGGGTGAGGAGGAGAAGGGTCAGTGGGCTCAGAGGCAGGGGGCTTAGTCCTAGCCAAGCATGCTACTGATTCACTGTGTGCCCTGGAGCTGGGGCCAAGCCCTCTGAGCCACAGATGTCAATGGCCGGGGCTGGCCTCAGCCACATCTCCCCCTTGAAGAGCTGAATCTTGATTTCTCCTGGATGAAGACAGCAGTCGGGTCTAGAGATGGCACAAGGGCTGCAGAAGGAGTTTGGGGGAACAGAGGGGATGCTGTGGGGGCGGAGGCTGACAAGCCCGCAGAGATTCAGAGAGACAGCCTGGAGTCCGGAAAGTGGAGGGACAAAGAACTGACACCACCACCACCCCACCCCCCCGGCGCCTTAGCCCCCTTCAATGCTGAGCCACTGAATGCGCTTGGCTGTGCCTCAGTTTCCCCATCTGTAAATGGAAGCCCCTGTAGCTGGAATGAGGAGGAGACTGGAAAAGCAAAGTTGTTATTCTATTCCGGTGGGGTGGGGAAGGAAGGAGAGCAGAACTTTGGGTGGATGGCTGGGGAACGCTAGGCTCACAGGGGAAGCAGATGTCTGGGAAGGCAGCTGGGGGGCTGACAGGGACTAGATGCACTGAGCTGGCCAAGGGGTTGTCGCAATCCTGCCTGGGTCATGTCTGTGTGTCCCTTTCACAACCGTCCCCCCCACCACCCCCAGGCTGACACGTGGTTGTGGGGGCACAAGGCCAGCCAACCTCAAGTCTGAGGCCAGGGCCGCCCTCCCTACAGCTGCCAGGGATCACTGGCGGTCAAAAGAAGCCAGAAGAAGGGGGGAAGCATTGGACTCGAGCCCTGAGGGACGGATGTGGTGGGAGGAGAGACGGGGGGGGGGGTGCCTAGTGCCAGGAAGGGCCCGAAGGGGTAAGGGCAGATGGAGTGTTTACCAGGGGGCCTGGAAGCTTCCAGAGTGGGAGAGCAGAGGGCAAAGAGGGGCCTGGTGGAATGGATGGAGGCACACACACTGGGATCTTTGCAGCTGAGCTTTTGCAGTTCAGACAGGCTGAAAGGACCCCTTCCCCAAAGAGAGGTCGGGGGGCTGTGGAATATAGACCCCAGGGCACAACCACGGAGGTCTGGGATGCTCCCAGACGCAGGGAGGTGGGGGTGGGGCTTGAGGGCGGGTCTGAAAGTGAGACTGGAGGTGGCAAGGGACTAGGAATGGGGGGGCAGATGGGGTGACCCTAGCGTCTTGGAGGAAGAGTTGCTTGCTTGTGCCGAAGAGGCTTGCTAAGAAGGGAGGGGGGCGGAAGAGGAGGCCTGAGGAGTCGCCGTGAATCGAGTTACAGAGTGACTAAGTGACTGAGAGACACCCCCCTCCCCAGGCCTGGAGAAGCCTGTTCAGCAGGAGAGACCCCCTAGAGAAGATGGCCTCTGGAGAGAGACTAAAGGCAGTGCCCCATGTGGGGAAGGGACTATGGCACCAAGTCAGGAAGATTTGGAGGTGCAGGTGCTGAACAGCAAGACGCTTTTTTTTTTTTTTTAAGATTTTTATTTATTTATTTGAGAAAGAGAAGGAGCTAGAGAGAGAGCATGAGAGGGGAGAGGGTCAGAGGGAGAAGCAGACTCCCTGCCGAGCAGGGAGCCCGAAGCGGGGACTCGATCCCGGGACTCCAGGATCATGACCTGAGCCGAAGGCAGTCGCTTAACCAACTGAGCCACCCAGGGGCCCTGAACAGCAAGAGGCTTTAGGCCTAAGGGATGTGCCTAGGCACACCTGACCCACGCACCAAGCCAGGCGGGGAAGAGGAAAAGGTGGGTGGGCACAGGGCGGAGGCCATCTGCCGGAGGCTTAAGGGGAGGGATTAATTTGCCCCGCCCCCTCCCCAGCCCGATAAAGGCCTGGGCCGGGCCAGGACCTCCCACCGTGCTGTCCCGCGACTGATCCAGGTTGGTGCTCAATGCGCGCGAGGGCTGCCCCTCCAAGAGCACTAGAAAGGAGGTTTGGAAGGAACTCCGGGTAGGGAGGAGGGGTGTCACTGATCACTCCCACCCCTGCTTCTGCTTCCAGAGTGCCCCTCCGGCCCCCAGCCATGAGGCTCTTCCTGTCGCTCCCAGTTTTGGTGGTGGTTCTGGCGATGGTTTTGGAAGGTAAAAGTGGGATAGGAGAACCTGGGAGTTTGAGATTTGGAAGCTTGAAGCTGGCCACGGGTCTGGGGTCCGAGCTTGGAGGACCCTGGAGAGCTCTGCGGCCCCTTCTGTGCCCTGGTTTTCCTATCTCTCACCGATCACCCCACCCCCAACCCCGCAAGGTGGGGGAGGGCTCTCTAAGGGGCGGTCCTGCGGGTGGCTAATCTGCGGTGGGAACCTCCAGCAACCGATGATATTATTGACTCGCCCCTCCAGGATTGGCTGTCCAGCTTTTACAGCTTGGAAAGGGGAGGGGTGAAGCAGTGCTGAGAGTAAGCTAATTCCCAGCAGCTTGAGCTCCATCTGGTCGCTTTTGTACCCTCTCCCCGCACCCCGCCTCCGAGTCTTAACACCGTGACCTCCAAGAATCACTTTCAAGGATCTCCTTTCCCACCCCTGGAATCTCGTCCTAAGGGCTCCCGATACTGAAATTTTTGTACCGCTGCCCATCTTCTGGGCAGGCCCAGCCCCCGCCCAGGCGGCCCCAGAAATCTCCAGCACTTTGGAGCGCATCCCGGATAAACTGAAGGAGTTTGGTAACACCCTGGAGGACAAGACCCGGGCAGCCATTGAGAGCATCAAGCAGAGTGACATTCCTGCGAAGACCCGGTTAGGAACCTTCCCAGGGCCTGGGAGGGCTGGGGTACATCACTAACAGATTGGGGAAACTGAGGCCTGGAGAGGCGGACAGCTTCCCTGTGGTCACAGCTGGATCGCAGGGTGCTTAGATGTGGGGGACAGGTTCCTGACTTCCATCTAGGCCATGCTGTAGAAATGGTTCTGCGTGGTGGTGAAAGACCAAGCTTGGGAGTCAGTCAGACCTGGGTCCACAGGCCAGCAAAGACTCACTACTCTCTGTGTGATCTCGGGCGTAGGTCTGGACCCGCCTTTTTCCTCGCCTGTAAAACGGATAGTTCTGAGGAGAGGCAAACTAGGGGATTTGCATAGTGCCTGGCACATTGTAAATGCTCGATATGCTGTTTAACCAACATCAACTCCATTTGGCCACTTAGAAAATCATTCATTCATGAACAAATATTTATTGGGCATCGGCTCTGTGTCCGGGCTGCTCCAATGTGGGGAATAATAGTGATGAACAAGATAAAGTCCCAGCCCACAGGGAGCAGATTGTAAACCAGTGAATGTCCGGGAGATTAGCCCAAACAGGGCTAAGCACTAAGAAGACAACAAACAGGGTAGGTGTAAACAACCAGCGTGGGGCTTGAACTCATCACCCTAAGATCAAGAGTCGTGTACTCTACCGACTGAGCTAGCCAGGCACCCCTTTTCATATCTCCATTTAAAGTGTTACTGCTTCGGGGTGCCTGGGTGGCTCAGTAAGTTAAGCTTCAGACTCTTGATCTCAGCTCAGGTCTTGATCTGGGGGTTGTGAGTTCGAGCCCCCATGAGGCCTGGTTGTCTTGCTTAAAAAAAAAAAAGTTGAGATCTGAGTGATTAGGAAAATCCAGCCGGGCCTTAGAAACATGGGAAGAATGTTCCCTGTGGAGGGTGAGTGAGAAAGCCCTGAGCCAGGAAGATATGTACATAATCCAGGCCAGAAGGACAGCCTAGGCAAAGACAAAGAGCCTGGAGAGTGCCCTTGAATAAGCAGGAGACAGCTAGGCCAGAGCAGGCTTACTAGCTAGAGATAGCAAGCCTTCTGGAGCATTCTGACTTCAAAGGGCTCTGGTCCCTCTGGGAAACCCAGCCCAGGCCTCCTCCCAATCCCATAGATACCAGAGCCATGCCCTTTTCTGGGGGGAAGGGAAAGGGGAA